CGACGACGATGATGATGATGATGATGATGATGATGATGATGATGATGACGATGATGACGATGATGACGATGATGACGATGATGATGATGATGATGATGATGATGATGATGATGACGATGACGACGACGACTACGACGAGGAGGAGTAGGCCTATGATGATGACGAGCAGACCTATGAGTTCGACTTTGATGCAGCTGAGCAGCCACAGCTACAACCACAGCCACAGCCGCAGCTACAACCAAAGCCACAGCCCCAGCCACAGCCACAAGCACGTCCAGGTAAACGATTAGGACGAGTGGATCCTCCACGAAGGCTGGGGGTCGTTATACGGGCGCAGCCTCATCCTCAGGTAAATGATTTATGTATTTATTGTTGTTTACCATTAGATATTATTTTATTTAATAATAGCGCATTGTTGATATAGTCCACCACAATATGTCGTATATATATTGATTGATCTATTGTAATACAGAGGCGAGCAGCAAACGCACTAAGTGCGACGACTGGCTTGTTAAAGCCTCAGTACCCGGTGGCCCCGTCGACAGGACTTTTATTCCTAGTTTTCTAGGGCATGTAGCCTCCCGGATTTGGACTGGACATGTCAGAGGCACGTTGAAGTGCCAAAACAGGATGTCAGCGAATGGAGTTTTGAGGGAGTGGCTCGCAGAGTTGGATGACAGTGCGCGTGATCTGATTCGTCCAACTGGGCTATTACATTTGGTGTCCAGCATGCACGACCATGTCGACACTTCACTTATTTCAGCATTTGTGGAGCGTTGGCAGCCGGATACCAACTCGTTTCACTTGCCTTTTGGTGAAATGAGTATCCTGCTGCACGACGTGAGGGCCATACTGGGGGTTCCTGTCGTCGGAGCAGTAGTCACAGGGGACCCCGATAGCCTGACACAACAAGCGCACTGCATGGAGCTCCTGGGGATGACACAGGACAAGCTGATGGCGAGCTTTTGGGGTCACGGCTCGGTGACGAATGAAGCCATTTTTACTGTGTTGCAGAAGAATGGCGCAGGTCGGTCGGCTGAGCATGTGGCGATTGGCTGGCTGTGGGTGCTGCTCGCTACCACTTTGTTTACAGACAAGAGTGGTAACAGGGTCAGTCCCAAAATCCTACACGAGATGATGCAGAACCTGGAGACAGTTGGTACTTACTCGTGGGGCCCGGCCGCACTGCATACCTATTCAGACATTTAGGTATGGACAACAGGGAGGACTCGGGGGAGTGGCGGGCTGCTTGACTCTCTTGCAGTCCTGGATATACGAGTACTTCCCCACCTTCCGACCCCCCGGTTCGCGTATGGCCTCCAAGCATGACAACCCATCCCGATCAGCCTTGTGGAGAACCCCCGTCTCAGATAACTCAAATAAGCGCCTCAAGGATTTCCGTAGGCGGCTTGATAGACTCACAACCGCCGAGGTACGTTAAGTTATTTTATTTACATTTACTTGAAAGTTATTTAGAATACTCGAATTCTTTGAATAAATGTTTTATGCAATTGTGAACAGATAAACTGGCTGCCATACGGCCCCAAGCCGCATGTGTTGGAGCCTAGGACCCTTTATTTCGGATGCCTTAGGTACCGGGATATTGTGGAGCCGTACATGCCTATGCGTTTCTTGCGCCAGTTGGGCTACCGCCAGACCATCCCTCCCAGCATGGATCGTCCGACCAGTGTATTTCATGGTTGGAAGTCTAGGATGTACAGGGTCGAGCATGCAGCTACTACTGCAGTAGATCACTGGGGCCAGTTCCCGCTACTGCTTCTGTACGCTTGTCTGATTTTACTCCCACCACCGCAGATGATCTGGGGGCGGCCCATGAGGACTAGCAGCGATGGTATGAGCGGTATTCTCATCCTAGGCCCTTGCCCGATAGTCAGGCGGACGGCGAGGATGTCCCTGCGCGCACCAACGTCGATTTTGTAAGTCGTTTACTAAATTTTATTTAGTATTTGTTCATTACACTTTTTTTATGTTTTATAATTTAAATGTGTTTATATATTTTATTTTCTTGTGCTTTGTGTAGTGGCTCAGACGGTCCATGTCCATTTCATCAGATATGCATCAGGCGTTGGCGACAGTTGCTTCTGAAGTGGCGGCAATTTTTGCAGAAAAATTGGCTCAGTTGAAGTCGGATTTCGACAGAGCGCAATAGTGATGTAATAAATATATATATTTTATATTTTATTTTGGATTTTGTAACAAATTATTAGTAGAATTGTTTTATGTTTTTTTTATTTGTGGTTAGTTAATTTTATTTTCATCCAAACAAAAAATTCTCCAATTATATCACGTGAAACGGTAAACACGGCGAGATATCACAATCTATCACTCGTAAAGCATGAAAATAAAATTTAAAAAAAAACCGCGAACATAAGTCGAAGTATGCCACACGACTCGTCTTTGAATCCTATTTTTCGCTGGTCAATCTGATTGGACCAGAGACCGGCCATTTCTTTACCGATCAAATGCTGAGAATCTGGAGGCTCAATATGTTGATTGCTGAGAATAAGAATTTTTTTTATTGGTGTCTGAAAGTGTTCGTTGTAGAGTTTGAATTATGGGAGAATTATGGGAAATTAATGTACAATGTTAGTATTTTAATATTATTTTTATATGTATGCATATATATATATATATAAAAGGAGAGCATCATCTGCAAACAGTAAATGAGACAGAGTGGTTCCACCTCTAGTAATTTTCAGCCCTTGCATCTCACCCAAAGCCACAGCATTTCTGATCAGTCTAGAAAACACCTCAGATATAAGGAAACAGATAAGGGAATATAGGATCCC